TGTCACAGGCACTTGTGACACTGATCCAGGATAGTATCGATGTACTCAGTATTCTCGAGACTTTCTGGGAGCATTTAGAACCAATGGTAAGTCAACCTAACAACTGACCTGTCCATGAGGATATCCTGACATGCATTCATAGACTCGGAGCCTGCAGCAAGCTGCTGCTCAAATATTGGAACCTATCGATATCATTGATCAAAATGCTGCTGTGGCTGAGTCAAGGGGTATTGAAGTCCCGATGACTGGAGTCAATAGTCCGGCACGGGAGGAAGATGTCATCACAACCACGTATATCGAGTCTCCAGAGTATCCAATTGCCCAGAATTCCGCGAGAGCTTTCACGAATGCCGATTTTGGGGTTACAGACAGGGCCATGGAGCATGTAACCCAGAGCATGGATGAGAATCATGATTGGCATCATAATAATCTTTTTGAATGGTGCCAGACAGAAGGACTCCTCGATATCGGCGATGATCTCTTGGATATTGGCGCTTCAGTCGATTGGAACATGGACTTGGACTTGGACTTGTTAACTGGTTTCTCTTCCCAGATGGCATGATATTCTATGTATCAACATACGACCTACATCGGCCTGGGAAGTCGCTGGATATCGCTGAGGGATGAGGCTTGCTGTGTGCTTTACCTCGCCAGGCCAATGGAGCTTCCAAGATATAACTCCCGCCTTAGGGCTTGAAGAGGGTTATAATTGAGGATGGATAAGGATATGTCGAGATTGTGTTGCGCTATGGTGTTGTTACTGTTCACTTGTGTTATGTTTTCGCTCTTTTCAGTGCTACTTCACCTCAGTGCTTCATAATAGAAAATTCGTCTTGTAAAATTGATATATCTGCAGGTTTGAACTCTTCAATATGGTGAACTAGTTAGACTGATTCACTGGCCTTAAGACACAAATATTCATGTGTCCATTGGCCAATTTCCCTGTAAAACCCTAATCTTTCAGCGCACTGACTCGCCAGATTGATCACCGCAAAGCTGGAACGGATTTCCACATCTGTCTCATTCTTTTATAACCCTCTTTCCGAGTCCGCAGTGACCTGACCTGTGTTGACATTTTCAGTTCGGCTTGACCTTCGTCACATCAAGACCGTGCACCTTGCCGTGTACCCATTGAAAAGAAGACGATGTCAACGTCAGCAAACCTGATGACCCAACAAAGACTGCAACCCGCTGAATGGCACTGAACTGATCCATCATGGGATAAGGATACCTATAAGTGTTAGCTGGTGAACCAGATTATATGTGACAGCTATGCTTACCAGCCATTTTGGTAATAACACAACTCAATCCAGCACCAATAAACAACAGCCAAAATGGTACTGGTGAACATCATGCTCCTCGTAGTAATAGTCGCCCGGGGACTGTACAACAGCAAGTCCGGTACCAATAACACCGCGGGCACCAAGTGGTATCCAAGATCAGCCCAAGGATTGATGACAAGGTCGGCTGGCATGAGTAATGATGGGTCGTGGAATTTTATAGACCAGTATAGGACAGCAATCATGACTTCGAGAGGCGTCGCAAGGAGTGAGATAGTGTCTTTGGTCCTTGAGAAGCCATCGTGTCTCGTAAGATCTGCGATAAGGCCAAAGGTGGATGTGATAAGAGATAAGGTGAGTCCAACAACAGTGAGAAGCTGAAAGTACCATCCGAAAGAACCAGAGTATGCTGAGTCCCAGGTTGTCAAAAGGTAAAAGCTATAGGAAAAGGAGAGTGTTCCAAGACCATGTAAAAAGATCTTGGCTGGGCTGACCTCTGTAGGCGAGTTACTTGTACTAGTGTATGTCATGTTCAAACTCGGATGAATTTCAGGAAATGAAGCTATGAAGATGGCGGTTCGCAGGATATCACAATTATATCAGACGCTGGACGCTATGAATAAGATCCTACAGCGATATCTATTAATAACCACCAGCGGCAGCAAATTTTCACCCGGACCCCAAAATCCACGATAAATGCTCAGCCTCAGAGGTATTGATAAGATCGCAGCAAGGTTGGGTGCCATTTGCAAGGGTATCATCGCGTACCAGATTTAGTGCTTATTTTTCCGGTGGAGCGAAAATAGCTCGTGTCTCCTGCAGATTCGCCCCCATTCTCTTACATGAGCGGGCTCAAGCGGAAAGCAGTGAATGATCCAAGAATGGTGAGAAAACTGCACTTGCGTAAGACGTAAGCGCTGTTGGCGGGTTTCTGAATAGTCTCGCATTGTGCTGTCGTGGCTTAAACACAAGCTTTCAGCCGATGTTACCAGGATTGCAGCAGATGGTGCATTAGGGTGGAATGATACAAAGGACCTAATAAGAATACCGCCAACTGATCATGTCATTATCTTCCAATTTCCAGTCCAAAGGGCCTCCGATGATAAGACAGCTGCGGCTGAGATCGCAGGTTACATTGATGGTTTCACATGCCATGTTGTTCAGCAACACCCAAGTCTTCAGAAGAGAATTTACTTTGCAGCATCTCGACTCTTCCAGCACCACGTGGCGGGGCACTATCACCTGATATAGCCGAACGAAGCCAATGATGAGTGTGTCTATGCGAGGCCAATGCAGCAGGGGTCATAAGGCTTTTGACTAAGCGCCCCTAGACATCTGCATCACCCAGGATATGACTGATAAAAAAGCCCTCAAAATTCGACAGTTTCGGATATCTCGGGCCACTTTGGAACTACTGCGGTATTCGTAAGGCTTACAGGGCGCAGTGCATATGCGGCTGTAGGGCATTAACCAATATTTGCAAGGTATTATGCAGAAAGAAAGTGGATCTACGGAATACAAGCCGGAAGGAGTAACAATAGTATCGATTTCTTCCGTGTACTACCTTTTCTAGAAGGCTGATAGAAAATCCCTCATCTTGAATGGTTATTCTTGTACTACATAGTGGCTTATAGGTTTCAGATGCCCATTTGAGTCAGTATACCAAGCTTTGTGAGGTCCTGACATGTGAAGAAGACCCAGTAGACGCGGCCTGGCCCGTCCGCAAGGCACTAAAATAGTACACATGAGACCATGCCAGCTGGCATTTTAGACCCCGGTTGTGCATGAGATAAGTGACATCGCGGGTATCATGACAGAATTAGTTTATTCAGCGGCGCTTATGGGACTTCACCCTTGAATCTCAGGGCTGAGCGAGTCAGCCCCCAAAGATTAGAAGCTGTTCCAGACTTGAGGATATCTTGGTGAAATTTGTGAGCATGGATATTGCACTAGAAATACAGATTATGGTGTCGTACATAAAGTAGCTTAGATCCACAGATCGGCATAACTCTATACGATTTAGTTGACAACAACCACTGCCACCTTTGGCTGAAGCAATGTTTCTCTCCGTCATACCTGTCCTCTCAGTTGTTCTCTTAGCCTTTGCGCTTAGAGCTACGTTCAACTACTACCGTGGTCCACTTTCACGCCTCCCTGGACCATGGTACACCCACTTCACTGGTCTTCCGTTGCTATACACAAGGGCAGTCGGAACCAGTCGTCAGCATCTTCGCCATCTTCACGAAGTTCACGGTCCAGTAGTCAGAGTTGGGCCCAAGGAGGTCTCGATTAACAGCGTCGATGGCTACTACAAAGTGCACGGCGTAGGTAGCCATTGCTTGAAAGCACCCGTCTTTGATCATATCCGCTTTAGCCACTCGTCTATGCTCTTCACCATGCGAGATCCCCGTATTCACTCTGAGCGCAAACGGATCATTGGCAGAGGTTTTGCATCAATAAAGGAAGAACAGGAAGTAAAGATTCAGGGCTTGGCTAGTCAGGCGGTGGCCAATATCAAGAGAGAGGCCGAGAGAGGCCAAGCCGACGTCTACAAATGGTGGCGCTGCCTGGCGGTTGATGTCGTCAGCGAGATGTCTTTTGGCAAATCCTTCAACTTGTTACATTCGGGTGGGAAAGGCCTACCCCTTTATACGGCCTTGAGTAATGCTGGTCCTTCTGTTGTCTTTCAAGCAGTACTCCCACGCAGACTCATATCTCTGTTCAAATGGTCTCCTATCACCTGGCTGAGGGAAGTTGGTCAAGTTACTGAAACCATCTTCAACCGAGTAACAGCAGCCCTCGGAGAGCTAAGGGTTTCGTCAAATTGCGGCCCGAGTATCGCCCGTCACTTATTGAGTCACGAGGTTAAGGGCAAGAAACCCAGCTTGAACGATGATGAATTGAGCTCTGAGGTTAGCATGCTTCTTGTTGCGGGTTCGGATAGTACGGCTACTACTTTAACATATGCGACATGGGAGATCGTCAGAGATCCTGAGCTCCGGAGACAGATCGAAGAGGAGGTCATCAGTCTGCCCGTGGGCTTCACGGCGAAGGATGTTGAGGCTCTCCCCCTCTTGAATAGTGTCTTGGAAGAGGTCCTCAGAATGTACAATCCTGCAGCAGCACTGGTAGAGAGAATCGTACCTCCGAGTGGAATCTCCGTCCACAACTGGGATATCCCAGGAGGTACAATGGTCTACACGACTGGATGGCTCATTTCCCGGCTTGAAGATGTCTTTCCCGAGCCGGATAGGTACGTGATTTCCACCTGAGAGGTTTTGAGTGCAATTGCTGACCTGAAAAGATTTGATGCTACAAGGTTCCTGAATCCAACCCCGGAAATGAAACGAGCACATGTCCCTTTTAACATCGGTGCCAGAAGATGTGTCGGTATGCATGTGGCTCGGATGGAAATACTCGTCACATTAGCGATGCTGTTCCGCGAGTGTAGAGGCTTAAAATTACAGTGCGGCATGACAAATGAGATGATGACGCAGGTTGGCGAATTCTTTATAGTTCCCAAAGCAGGACGGTGTGATATTAGTGTTCAAGGGCAATAGATTATACACAAATAATTATATCTTGGCTCATCATTTGCAAATTCGCATTACCAAAACCCCCCTTAACTTTGGCCTAAGTTGTTATGCGTGTGTTAGTGGGTGTAATGTGCGAATTTTGCTCAGGTCAAAATCATCCTACTTATTTGCCAGCTTACATTGATTATGCTTCGGAACTTATCACATCTCGCAATAAGGCATCCAAGTCCAACATATCTGAGCTCTCAAGGTTGAAAGGTAGATCGCTTCCTGACGAACTTTCCCCAAATGCTGGCTCATCAGGAAAAGCTGGTCCCCATAGCTCATCTTCGGTGTTATCCTGCACAACGCCTCTGGGAAGCCATGAAGTCGTGGTTGGTAATTGTGACCATGTACTCATGCTCGGTCTGTTTAATACTTCAATCATAGAATCATTCGTGTCATCCTCCATTCTCCGGTTCATGTCAGTAGAGGTAGCAGGAAGATTGCCATGACCTATTTGACCCCCTGTAGTTGATTCTTGCTGAAGTGATACTTCATTATCTGGCTGCAAATCCTGAATGACGATCGGCTCTTCTGCTTCGGAGCTCGGTTGGCGCCTGACGGAGTAGCTTCTGAATATCGACTCCATAGCTCTCTGAACGGTCGATCGGAGGAGTTGGTTGGATGCATCCGGTCGGACCACAAGTCCATGAGACTCCAGCTCATCCAGCATAATGGTAACTCCTTCTCGTTGCGCAAACTCCTGAATCCGACAAAAGTCTTCGGATTGTGTCGAATAAATATATATCGTAGCTGGGGGTTCCATATCAGGAAAGAGGATCGACCATACTGTATACCACTGCTGTTCAACTGATCCCTTACTCTTCAGAGACAACTGATTCTTTTGCTGCTGAGATATTCCTTCCAGTTTCGCAGAGGGACCTCTTGTGCATGATCTCTCCAGCGCGTGTGAGTCAAAGAGGTCAAAGTCTTTAAATGTTTGGTAGCATATTTGACAGTAATACTTTGGTGTATGACGGCGCGTCAGATGTTGCTTCAAGTGTGCGATGGTGTCGTTCTTCTTCAGGAAGCAATCCCAATACTTTTTCGAATTTGCCTTCCAGTATGGGCATGCTAGAAACTGCGATCTTTCATCACAGTGGGATTGACTTGTCTTGCCTTTCTTTTTAGGCGGCTCGTTCGGTCTATCCCCTCTTTCATCGCCTTGGACATCACCTCGCCGTCGATTCTTTCGCCCGCCCGTCATGCTCGCTGTTCTAGAAGAGCTTGTAAATCCATGGTTTGCAACTTGTTTTCCCTTTGAACTGCTGTTTCCTGATTCGCCTCTTACCGTCACTTCGTTCCCGCTGAGAATGGCTAGGCGGCAGAAAACTCGGCTGAAAAGGCAGTACCCCAGGCTGTTCCTATCAGGCGGGCCTTCTGAATCCCCAGATATTGAGTCCACGTCTATGTTGGATGACACAGTTGGGGAAGATGAAGTGGTGGGGGATCTTATGCTCAGCTTTGCAGGATTCGGAAGCTCGATAGATTCCTCTATGGCCTCAGTTCGCGTTATTAACTTGGTTCCAAGGCCGGTACCAGAGGCTTCTCCCAAATTAAGTGATTCCTGGTCTTGATTTTGTAGTACCTCAGGCGAGGCTGCCAGAGGTCGAGACTTTGGGCCTTGAGGAAGTGGCGAATTCGTGATGGGCAGTTGAGCCTGCTGTTGATGGTCTTCCAGTGCCTGAACAGGCCTTTCTGGACGCGTACAACTCTCGCTTTTCCTGGTCTCCAAAACATCATGATCATCAATCGTTGACATTGAATTGGTGGGCACAACGGAGGCAGTAGAATCTAGAGCTACGTCGTCTAGATCAAGGAGGAAACTGGCCTGGTTGTCACTTAAATTGGAGCTGAAATGCCGAAGAGGCTTCCCTGGCGTGCGGTAGGCTTTAAGTGAGTCCTGGTCGTCTTGCCTTTGTTCATAGGATGGAACTAGACCATAGCGATGGTCACTTCGGTGGTCCGGTGGAGGAGTGTGAGAGCCCTGAGCATAATAATACTGAGACAAACTTTGATAAACTCCGTATCCAGAGCTCCCGATATCGTGATTCTGGTTTCGTGTTCGGGCGGGAGGTTCTCCGAGAGGACCATAAGTACCCTCCCTCGGTGGATACCTATGGACAAATGGACCAGGAACAAGATCTGAGGGCCTTGCATCTGAGAATATGCATTCCTGGTTCATTCTTGAACAATTCTGACATTTACCACCAAGTGCACTATCTTTACCACTACATCTGATCTGCGAGGTATTAGCAACTTAATCCTAAGCAGAATGTACTTTATCTCATGATCAGACAAACCTTTCGCTTTCGGCAATATCTACAGGCAATCGAGGATCTCAGTCTAGTCGTAGGCGCAACTCCTGGGTCTAACCCGTAAGGCGAGAGTCCAGGGGGGCGATATGCATGAGCCGTAGAAGGCGCAGGAGCCGGTGGCGGATAGTGCGCAGCTGGCAGAGGTAGGCCATAAGCCGGAACATGTGGCTGAGGAGGGTTGTTTGATGGCGGGTAGTTGTGAGAAGAATACTGAGGCTGTTCGGACGGGCCCGACTCTACCTTCGAAAGTCCCTTCGTAGACGTAGATCCATGCATATTTGACCGTTTAATGTTAGTTTTTTCAGATTCTTGACGGCGGTATGGCCCAATCAGTAGGTCAATAGTTCGTAGTCGGTCAAAGTAATCAAGGATAATATTTCGCCTTCGAAATGGCGAAGGACCATTCAGTTAATTGCTGAACTCTGACGTTATTGCTCCCGTCTTCAATCACCGATTTAAGATCATATCGGTATAAATTGTTTTGTGTATCAGCTGAAAGCTGAGATGTAACAATATCCTTTTCGGGGATCAAAGCAATGCTAAGGTGGGCGCTGACCGCACATATGTGCTTATCACTCTGGTTGGCTACTCATCAACCAATCACATCTCATGTTTCAAAGGTCCAATAAATCTACCAATTACTCCTTGTTTATGATCTTGTCAATCTCCGTCACCGCCGCGAAAAGATCATTGTCATGGTATTTCCTCGCAACCACCTGCAAATTAATAGGCGCCCCCTCAAAATCACCCTTCGCCCAGAATTGCCTGACCTGTTCCTCTTCCTTGCTTAGAGGAGTACTATTCGGTGGATAGTTCTCGGTTCCTTTCGCTCCTGCCTTAATAGGCGTCGGAATCACAAGGCCAGGGTAGTCAACGTAGTTCCAGAGCGCGGTGTAGTTCCAATAAAGCGCTGTCTCGTGAGAACACGCCGGACCAACGAATACAGGGCAAATCACAAAGTCCACGTCTTGTGACTCCCAATGCTCTGCAAAACGACATCTAAAATCGTCGCGCTCTACACGAAGCTTGAGGACGCCATTGGCATCCAGTCCAGGACCCTCAGCGTCTTGGATGATCCACTTGGTCAAGGTGTTCATGGGTTCGTTCGTGGCTGCGAGATACTCTTTGACTGTTTTACCCCCATCAGGCCAGTATGCGCGGCGAATACCATTCATCGCTTCTGCCATTCCATAGGGCTGGAAGGGTTTGACATCGAACCCTTTAGATCGTAGTTCCCGGGCTGCCCACTCAAGAGCTCTTGTTACAGGAGGCTGTGGAGTGATGAGTCCGTCATTGATCATGAGTCCAAGCTTCAGCGGCTTGTTTTCCGTCAATCTTCCTGTCCAATCAAGAGGGACAAGTCGAGGGTCTTTCAGCCAAGGGTGAGAGCTGGAGACGACCGACATGAGGAGATCAACATCTCGAAGCGAGGTACACATCGGCCCTGCTGAACATAAGACATTCAGTTCAGCAGCAAAACCACCTGGTAAGAAGTCTTTCTGAGGAAAAACATAGGATGTCGTCTTGAGACCGTAGATACCGCAGAAGCCAGCTGGTCCACGAACACTTCCTCCAATATCTGTACCTATGCCTAAAACTGAACCACGGAGAGCAATAAGAGCAGCTTCGCCACCGGTAGACCCACCAGCCGATAGATTGATATTATGGGGATTCAAGGTTCTTCCCCAAGGCGATGTTGTCTCGAGATGCATGATTGACTGAGGTTGGTTCGTCTTACAGAACAGAACAGCACCCGCATCCCTGAGGATCTTGACCATCTGACAATCCTCTGTGTCAAGCCTTCGAGTTGCCAAGTATCCAACATTTGACCAATGGTTACTAGCCGGCATGTGTTCCTTGATACTGACTGGCACACCATGCAAAGGACCGCTGGTCATTCCAGTGTTGTCTTGATATTGATCAAGAAACTGGGCAGTCAGTACTGCCTTTTCGAACCACCATTGTGTCAAACAGCATGTAAGCTGATGAGCGATGATAGCTCTTTTCGCAAAGGCAGTAACGACAGCGACGGATGTAAATTTTCGTGATGCGATTGCAGCTGCAAGTGCTGTAGCGTCGTAGTTCTCTGTGATGTCGATTTCTTGATCGGTCAAGATACCACAGGTTTTGGGGATGCCGGTTACGTTCTTGGGAGGATTGTCGATGAGGCTTTTTGGAAGCCGGAATTCGTCTGGCACAGTACTGCCGAACTCTTCGAGGATGGATGTCCGCAGAGCTTCATACTCTGGCGGACCAGTTTGTAGAGGGACTGGTTGAATGACGGGGACAATCTTGGATGACATGATGACAAAAACCTTCTGATTAGATGATAGATAAGGGATTCAATGCTGTAGAGGGTGTCATGACAGGCTGTGTTTATATACGTAATCGCGGAGTTTTCATCATGCCGACCTGAGCGGTAGAAGCTGGCACTACCAACACGAGCAATGAACTCCCCCATTTTATCCAACCACTCTGACGTCTCCAGTGCTTCGCGAACCATGATAAGCATCCCTGCCGATCTCTCGTCTTGGAAAGATGCCTAGCTTCACGGCAACCAATCAGATGTAATAGCGCGGATCACCTTGGCCACTCATCAAGTTCCCCGCATGATATTCATGATCGCGGTCTCATAGACTTTCCCGTTTCGTCAACTCTTGCCGTAAGCGATGTGCATTAGACCTAATGTTATCTGGTGAAGCATCGGTAGTTCACAACCCGAGATAGCGGTAATCCCCACGTACGCCATGTCAACGCGGTTATCATACTTTACCCCGCGTTTCACTTCTGCGACTAGGATGGAGATAACCTAGACGGTTGAGATCTAATCCAGAAGTGATAAGGTTTTCATCGGTGGCTTTTATCTAGGCTGGAACTGCCGCGTGAGGGATCGTTGCCGGAAGCGCTCCTTACGTCCGAGCACTGATACCGATCTCATGGTGGAGTGGATCGTGATAGCTTGAGATTAGGCAACGTGCCTATCATACCACATACATATATATCCGGGCTCTGGTATCAATTAGCAGTGGAGAACAACATCTTGTTTTACATTTGCAACTTCACCACCATATCATCATCCACGCAATGGCTCAGGCCTACTCTGAAGTCGTCCCCGGCACCGTCCATCTGGTCGATGCTGGTCGCAGCGACGGCAATGACATTGAACTTGTCCCTCGTCCCAGCGACGACCCAGAGGATCCCCTCAATTGGAGCAGACGTCGCAAGCTCATATCCGCAGCCACGGTGTTCGTCTACACCCTTGGCGTTGGTCTACCCTCTACTCTTCAGTACTCTGTTCTTGTAGAGATCTCCCAAGACACAGGTATCTCTATCGCCGATTTGGTTCAAGGCACTGGTGTCATGTTCCTCTTTCTCGGATGGAGCTGTCTGTTCTGGCAGCCTATTGCCTTGACCTATGGAAGACGTGGTGTTTATCTCATTTCCACTATCGCCGCTGTCCCCTTGATGGTCTGGACTGCTTATTCGCGATCTGCTGGCGAGTGGTACGCTCATCGTATCCTCCTCGGCTTCTTCGTTTCACCTATCGAATCACTCCCAGAAGTCAGTATTCCTGACATTTTCTTCGCACACGAGAGAGGAACGTGGATGAGTTTATATGTCTTCGTTTTGTTCGGTTCCAATTTCTTAGCACCAGTGGTTGCTGGATTCTTCGCCGATGCGTACGGTTGGCGGTGGACCATGCACTTCGGCGCCATTTTCGCCACATTCAGCTTTGTTATCCTCTTCTTCTTTATGGAGGAAACGATCTATTTCCGCCCGACCTTTGAGGGTCTTGAGGACCGAGATGAACCGGTGAAGGGTCAGGCCGAGAACGATGTTGGCTCTACACAGAACAACCCCGAAAGACCTACAAAGAAGGAGGGTGCTGGCGCTATCGTTAACAGTGATCAGCTCCAAGGCACTGTGCACACAAAGAAGAGTCTCGCCACTCATCTCAAGCTCTTTGCTAGAAAGGACGGCCGACCAAGCAAAGCAAACATGTTCAAGTCCATGTTGGCTCCTCTTCCACTCATGGTCCTCTTCCCCAACGTCGCCTGGGCGGGGTTCATCTACGGCATTAACCTTTGTTGGTACAATGTCTTGAACGCCACTACTAGCCCCATCCTCAGCGCGTCGCCGTACAACTGGTCTACCAGCATGGTCGGCTTGATCTATGTGGGCCCCATTATCGGCGCTGTTCTTGGATGCCTATGGGCCGGTGTCATTGCTGATCGCCTTACTCTCTCCCTCGCTCGAAGAAACAATGGTGTACGAGAGCCTGAGCAGCGACTTTGGCCGTTGGCTTTATCTGCCTTCTTGTCTTGTGTCGGGCTCATTGTTTGGGGCGTTGGCGCTGACAACGACATCCACTGGGCTGGTCTGGCAATCGGATTGATGGTACTCACTTTCAGCTGTGTCACGGGCGGCTCAATCGCTTTGTCTTACAACGTCGATTGTTTCAAGGACATTAGCGGCGACACCACTACTTCTATCATTATTATTCGCAACACACTGGGCTTTGCCATCTCGTACGGAATCACGCCTTGGTATGTCAACATGGGTCTGCAGAATTGTTTCATTATGGCGGGCTTCCTCTCTCTTGGATGTACTAGCACCTTTTTGTTCATGATCTGGAAGGGCAAGAGTCTGCGGCGCCATGCTGCTCCGAGATATTGGGATCACGTTCAGAAAATGTTGCAGCACTAGGATCAACACTTGGGGGATAGTCGGAGTCATTCTCTTCTTTAGCTAGCTAGCAATCTTGAACCACCACTTATTTAATAAACCAGCTTATCCTTATCAGTCCCGAATATTCTCACTATGTTCTCGAACCCTGCCTCTCGATCATCAGCTCCACTGGCCTTCTCCGCTTCCAAGATGTTCTGACGACTCTTCAAAAGTTCGATTGCAACATCACGCCACTGCACTTCGGACTTCTCGTGCTTCATATTGGGCATTAGCTCCAACTCCAGCTTAGTGGCTACAAGCTGTCCATTTCGCTTTCTGAATTGGCCATCAATAATGACAGCATCAATGTCAGAGGGAGCGGAGTGCAGAATGATGGCACCGATCGGATCTTCCTCTGCAGCACAGATCATCGCAGGGCTCAACGTATCCCAGATGACAAGATCAGCAATCTTGCCCTCCTCCAAAGATCCAATTTGATCGCCCATCTTGATTGCTCTTGCGCCTCCAATTGTGCCAAGCTGGAATGCATCTTGAGTAAAAACTTGAACTTTGGCAGGGATCTTGCCTGCTTCGTGGATTCGGCCATTGCGACGAGCACGTTCAGCCTGGAGACCAACCTTCATCTGGGCGACGATGCTGCCTGTGTTGTTGCTATGGCAGTCAATGCCGAGGGAGCTAATTGACTTGGCGCTTTCCTGAAAGCACACGGGCCAGCCATGACCCATTTGCAGCTCAGTGTCAGGAGTCGAGGAGATTGATGCTCCGACTCTTTGTAGTTTCTGTGCGTCCGAGTCGTTCAAGGGAGTTGCGTGAGAAAGAAGAATATCCTTCTCCAGAAGTCCATAGCTCTCAAGTAAGTCTACGGTTGAGCCCGCTGTAGTGCACTCGCATTAGTAAGAGGACATATGGAGAGGACAGGATGCATGTGAACTTACGGAGAAGACTTGGGACATAGTGAGAAGTTATGGTCTTGATGCCCAAGCCACGGACTTGGTTGAAAATGTTGACAACTACATCCTTTGGAAGGTAGAAGGAGTCGAATGCGAAGCCCATCGTCACCCGACCATTAGAGAACGGGCCGTTTTTACACAGTGAGGTTAATTGTTCGAAAAGCCAAGATGGAAGCAACTGTTCCTCCATTTCGAAAGGCTTCCAGGTCTTGACCCTTCCGGTAGGGCAGTAACAGTAGATAGACCTAATACCAGACGAGATTGTTGCTGAAAGGGCTGCATTGTCTGAGGTCGCGATCAGTTACAAGGGTTTGCGTAGATATCATCACAGGATACTCACTGTGCTCGGGAGTGTATGAGATATGGGCGTGATCAACGATTGTAGTCGTCCCTGCCTCGAGGGCTTCAAGGCACCCACCGAGCTGGCCCCAGAACACATCTTCAGGCTTGTAGCTATGTGACGCCATGTTTCCTGGTACATGTAGTTTGAGTAACTCGTCTCCTGAGTTGATCAGATATCACAAACCTGGTACCATGTACTCCAATAGCGAATGATCAGCGTGCCGTCCTTTGAGCTGAGTCTGCCAAACATGGTGGTGAGTGTCGACAAATCCCGGTGAAATAATCTTTGCCGAGCAATCAATGACCTCAGTTGACTCGGATGGGGGATAGATATGCGGTGCGATACGAGCAATTTTGTTGCCCTCGATCAGCAACGAATGGTTCTTGAGCGGAATGACATGATCATCTCCTGGACCCTTTGGAACAAGGAGAGTAGCGTTTTGCAGCAGAATAGACTGGTATGAAGGCATCCTTACCTTTGCTCGTCTGTTTGGAAAAAGTCAAAGAAGTGAAGCAGTGACCTTGATCGGTTCTTAAGGCAAGTCTTGTAGACTCGGACTTATATGCCGTCACTGCCGAGAACAAAGAATGAAGCCACAACCGCATTCTTGGATGAGGGGGTATCACTGCCATGTGGCCCGTGGGTAACGCCCATTCAGTGTTTGCCAATAACGAGGCGTTCTGATTCGCTTCCAGCATCATTCGCTTAGCATAACCAACAACTCGCAGCACCACCAACAAAGACACCGATTTAGCCTTCAAATAACAATATCACGTCAGCCACCGTTCTAGAAACCCTTTCCCACGGATGGTTGGCTGCTTCGCATCGATGACTCAATGTGGGTTCTAGTGAAGTAGGGATTGGATACAAGATTAGAGAGACAACTCCTACCATTGTCGTTTACGTGCTAAATGCGTCACTGTCGGCAATAGTACTGCTCCGAGGTCCAGACTGTTTTGGTAGCCCAGGTCCTCAAACTGCTGATTGCTTACAAACCTTATACGTCGGGATGCGCTGAAATGCCGGAGGATTCAGAACCTCGTTGTTTTAGCCCTTGTTATAAATCAGCTAACGTTATCTTGGGACGCTCTTAGATGCTACAATATAAACACCGTCAGAACCATCCTTTTACTGAGTCCAATCAGCCAAATGTAGAGCGTTGGTAGTTCTAAAGCTTAACTAAAGAGACAAATGCATTACAGAGGTTTTGTTCCATAGATAAACGCCACCGACTATTTCAATACATATTGCGTGTAAACCTGACAAGTATTTGCGAGTTCTTCAGATTGCTTGTCATTTTCTTCAGAGTTTAGTTAGACAAGATGTTGTTTACGTGAGAGTTGCCATTGACATAACTGTTTTGCGCCAAAGTGTTTGCATGGGAGCAAGGGGCTTGATTATAGTGATTGATTAGCGTATGACTCAGCATACAACGGGGGGCTTGGTGTAGGGGGATCACGTTCGCTTTGCATTGTTTCGAATGCCTGCGAAAGGTCGGGGGTTCAAATCCCTCAGCCTCCATTTTTGCGTTTCATACAAGCTGGAACAGATAAACAGATCTGGTGTCTTTTGCAGTTTCATGAATTGGCACTTTGCATTCTCCGTCCTTGCTTATCGCAATAGACAATTGGACTGGTTCCTCGCTTGTGGTTAGTAGTGCAGGCATTATTGAATCATCTTGTTAATTTTCACTCTCCGACAATTCACCCGATCCAAGGAAGCAGTAACGTTGAGAAGTGCTTTTCGTTATTTTTTCTATTTAGCCCTAAGTGCTTTTCGCTAGATTTGCTCTCACTTTGTAGGTGGCTACGTCTTTGGGTTATTAAAGCGCTGCCTACAACTATGAATGGAAGGACACGGAAATGCTTGATAAACTACTTCGGGGCCAACAAAAAGAACAGGAAACGCAAAAGTAAACTCCGATGGAGGGAGTCGAACCCTCCTCGCCGCGGAACTATTTCGAAATGAAAACGCGGAATGATAACCGATACACCACACCGGATGTTTAGATGTTCGTCGGTCAGTTTGTTCCACTCCATATTGGCAGACTGGGCCTCGTCAAAGGTTACTAAGCTCTTTCAAGCAGTGGGTGTCACTCCTGGATTTACAATTTGTCCTTCCATATATGCTGGTATCTCATTTTCCACTTTGTTTTACATCGGGCTCTCCTCAAGTGGGTGTGATGAATCATCACTCATTCCGTTCTGTTGTGCCACCGCTAGCTCAATCAACCACAAAATCCTCCAGCCAGAACCCGAACCTTTCGACAAATCAGCACCTATTAATGCTGCATGACTTATGCATTTCAAATATTTCCGTCATACAAGACCCTACTCATCTGTAGTCAGTTCGCCGAGCCAAACCGCTGGCTGCAAATGTCAAGCTCCAGGGTATGGTCATGATAGCCGCCAACAAGGGTCGCTCCTTAGCGTTATGGGGCACAGTTGCTGATCGCCAACTCCAGCACAAAAGTTCATTCAACGAAATTGCTGGTTATTTAAGTCGAGTAAGCCCTACCACTATGAGCCAAATAAACCCTTTGTCAAACCTCGGGATAATGCAGAAAATGGATCAGGGGTCTAACGCCAACCGTCGCCACTCCCGAAGCTGCATCTATAATCCCTGCTCCGTAAGGCTTAAATTACAACATCGGGACCGAAAAAACATAGATTTATCTTCCGGGACCGAGAAGATGCCTTTCCAACTGGGTTTCAAACTGGGGGCTAAAATCGCAAGGATCGGCCCGGGGGAGCAGCAGCACGGCCACATGTTTTACATGCCATGACTGGCTGGAGAACGATCGTAGGTTAATTGAAACGACTCCATTCCCACTGTAATTTGATGTGCATCTCCAAAGTCCCAAGACTTCGGTCCCGAAGTAAGGGACCAGCGCCGTGAAGATGAGAAAGATCGCCGAGGCCAGCAAGTAAACAAGATTTATACCTGTGAGAACCTGCACAGCATGGGCAAGAGCCTGTCAATTCGGTACAGCTTCCTTTCGTCTGTCATTTATCATTTGCCTTCTGATCATTAGTCCATTCGCAATGAAGGGATCCTCACTTGTTCTGTCCAGCACTCTCCTGAGTTGCGCCAACGCTCTTCAACTCCATAAGCGCCACAATCCATCTATCGTTTCAGTCAACTTTGAGAAACGAACAAAAGATGTCTTCCCCAGCCACGAGAAAAGAGACAGCGATGCCGTCGTCGAGATGAAGGTCGACCAGCAAGGCTTCCTCTACTGGGCCAACTTCACCATCGGAAACCCGCCGCAAAGGCTTTCTGCGGAAATTGACACTGGGAGCTCCGACTAGCTTGTTCTCACTAATCAGATCAAGACTTGCAAGAAAAAGGACTGCCAGGGTGGTATTTTCAACCCGGAAAAGTCAGAAACTTTCGAGTGGAGCGACGAGCAGGTGTCTGGTAGTTTCGGTAGTGGCGAAAGCTGGGAGGGTGAATATGCTAACGATACATTTACGCTTGGCTCATCCACTTTGAACTCTTTCCAGTTTGTTGGCGTGACTGAATTCAATGCCACCACCGCTGGCATCTTTAGCATCTTCGGCGTCGGTATCTACAGTCTGGAACATGCTGACATAAAATACCCAACCTTCCTTATGCTCTGGCCAATGCAGGAGAGATCAACACTCCCGCATTCAGCTTATGGCTCAATAACGAGACGCATGGAGAGTTTCTATTTGGTGGCGTTAACAAAGCCAAGTATACAGGCCCCCTCGTCACCTATCCTGTTGCGGCCGACAACACATTTGACGTGCGGGATAGAGCCCTGGTGGTCATGACAGGCTTCGGGACAACCTCTGATGGCAAGACTTCAGAGCTTAACTTTAAAGCTCGACCCGTACTACTCGACTCGGGAACTATACAGAGTAGACTAAGTCTTAACATGACCTTGCATCTGATTAAGACCATGAAAATCTCCATGGATGAGAAATTGGGTGCTGTAGCGCCTTGCAACACTAGCCGGAAGGAAACGCTGGATTTCACGTTCGGCGACCTGACTCTGAGCGTACCCCTTGCAAACTTCCTCTCACCAACCCCAGTCAAGAGCGGTGTCGATGGTGTTGCGTACTGCAAAGTCGTCTATTACGAAGATTCCACTAGCATTGTCCTAGGTGACGATTTCCTTCGAGGTGTTTATGTTGTTTACGACTGGGGCAACATGGAGATCTCTCTAGCTCAATACAACCCTGAGAAGGTTGAAGACGACATTCACGAAATTGTACGAGATGTACCTGGGGCTTCTACCGCCACTGGTATCCCCACAATGTATTTGAAGTACAATCAGCCTGCGGAATCTGCGGGTACTGAGATCCCAACTGAGTTGCCGACGATTACTGCAACTCATCTCAGCACAGCGACTGGATCTGGTACAGGTTCGGCGGAAGCTTCGTCGACTGCGGCTGAGGCTAGTGACAATGAGGACAATGGAGCGACGGGTGGCCTGCTAACTAAATTGATGTACATAATGCTGCTTGCTTTTATCTTCAACGTTGTATTAACCGCACAGTAATGGCTGGGAATTTAATCACTCTGATTTGATGCTAAATAGACTTTGCTATCAATTTGTTAACATGATTTTTATCACAAATGTCGTCGAATGGGTTAGGCGTCATGGAATGATGCGATCCGTCGAGAGGTCAATAATCACTTGCAGCTTCGATCATCTTCGGAATTATTGTATGCAAAATATTGAATTACAAAGGCCACTCTAGATTGTCAACTTTATCGCCAAGGCCGGCAAAGTTGAGAGAGAAGATGGTACAGGGCTGGCCGAGATCAGCGCCACAACCATACCGCTGGGTTCATCAAAAGTCCACTAATCCAGGAACCTTGTCCCACTAACTGCCGTCGCCACCCGCAACTGTGACATTCCTTCTTGATAAGGCAAACAAATCGCATCGGGACCGAACATCTTGGAGACACTAATATCGGGACCGAGCAAATGGCGTAGTAGTTAAGTTTCATAGCTGGAAGGGTAGAGATCGGCCCGACGGGCAAAAAGTATGATCACGCTGGGGATCGAACCCAGAATCTTCTGATTCGTAGTCAGACGCCTTGCCATTGGGCCACGCGACCGTTGCTGTTTGATGAATGAAGCCGTCGCCAGCCAGGGCTCATCATCGCCAGCCCCGACTTCCAGTAAGTTCTACTTGCCCAACCAGGAAACATTCAGAGAAGAGTTATGATCTGAACCTATGATGTTTCGGTATAGCTCGGGTCTTCTGGCTTGTCTATACCGAAATCCGCCTGCCAATTGAAGCTTGTCTTTGCTGCAAGTCGCAATAGCCATATCCTCTCCAAGCACAGAGCACTCACTCAAAATATCCCCGAATGGATCAAGAATCATGGAGCACCCGTTCTTCAACTGATCGTCATCCATACCAATAGGATTTGAGAATACGACGTAGACTGCATTGTCGTAGGCTCTTGCTGGTAGCCATTTCATCAGCCATAGCCTGCCTTTAAGACCGCTGAACTCAGCCCGCAGAGAAGTCGGATCTTCGTGTCGAGCAATCCACAGCGATGGATCCACGAAGCCAGCGCCTGGACGAGTTGACGGAGTGCACATTGTTACGTGCGGCATGAATATGATCTCTGCACCGAGAAGAGCTGTAGCCCGAACGTTTTCGACGACGTTATTATCATAGCATACCAGAATACCACATTTCCAACCAAGAAGGTCAAAAACCACATATTCATTCCCAGGACTTAGATGAGGACTGATGAAGGGGTGCAGTTTGCGAAACTTGGCTACAAAGCCTCTGGTGCTGTCGACACAGATATAGGTATTGTAAATGCGGCCATTTTCATCTCTCTCGAAGAGGCCTGCCAGGATAGCAATACCGAGCTCACGAGCTGTTTGAACCAAAGAGCCAGTGCTTGGACCAGTAGGGACCTCTTCGGCAAGATCAAGGAGTTCTTCTTTAGAGCGGCGGCTAGCGAAGGTGTAGCCGGTAACCGAGCATTCATGAAATGCAACAACTTTGCATCCGCGATTTGCCGCATCGCTTGCCATTCGGTGGATGATAGCCAAGTTTTTATCTTTGCTTCCAGACCAGTTCTCGAACTGAACTGAAGCGACCTTAAGTTGCAACATAGTTTATGGCGGTCTGTTTAGCAGGGCTTGATATGCCGACTTCTTCAACCAGAATGTACGACCGTTGATTACAGAAGTTATATTAATTATACAAAGTTCAGATTGCGTCTAATTGGGCTACTGCTCTTACCCGTGCCTACAAGGCCGTTGTTACGTTACCTGAGGTCGCTCGAAGCGACCATACCATTACTAAACATCTGTAAATGAAGCCAATACAGTAACGTTACACTTGTTTGTGGTACAGGGCGGTGGATGATATGTATGCAAGCCCAGTGGACACTTCAAGCAGCTACCGTATAAGCAGTCCCAATCAAGCTGAGGCGCGCCCTACGGGTGAGTCATCGGACCACAAGCTTGAAAGAGCCAAGGATTCGAAATCAGTTGTTAGATAGCAGAGTAGCAGTATACTCTGTGTTTAGAGGAAGATCGTGTTTAGAAAGAGACGCTTTTTAATCAACATTATTTCTGAGCTTATATGTATACTGACGACAAAACTTGGCAAGGCAGCTATGGACAGCTTGAAGTCACGCGGGATGACAGTTAAGCCGATTGGCTTGTTGCTTGTGCGCATACACGAGATCCCTTTTGCAGCTAGATAGAGTCTCTACAGCATATTTTGATTGGCCGAGAAAAGACGTTCTTTGCACGTCGATCGTTGCCTCGTTCGCCCTTAAAAGGATCTTGGCCCATAATCATCGGTATACCTGAACCCAGACCATTCAGCATGTCTATTTTTAGAGCATCGACGACGCCTGCAGAAGGTACTAAAAGCAAACTCTATAAGCCTTATGAGGTTGATCGAACTAGGGCTCAAAGTGTAGAATCGTATCATTCAGATGGCGTGGCGCCCAATAAACAAGATAATTCGCCACTGAAGATCAAGGGATAAGCCTCGTTGTCTGTACCTTGCAGAACGACAGACGTGGCTGAAAGGAAGAGGGGTTTTGAGTGCAGAGTGTGCCGGCTAATGGTTGCTTGAAGTATTCCAAGGGTGTAAGAAAACTTGAGACTCAAGAAGAGGATACTAAAATAAACTTGGTAAAGAGCTCCCTAAGCTCAGGCTAGAGGTGTCTAAGTATTTTCGGCACTTTAGGATAGATATCCTAGCAATTCTTTCCTCCCTTAGATATTTCAACAGTTATGTGACACGGACTCTATTTCACTGGTGGCGTGTCGAGTGTCATGGCCGTGTCCGTGACAACATGATGTCGAATTTGCGCATAAATATCTATTGCCTTTCCTGACTGCACAATCAATTACTCAATATTCATCTTCATAGAGTTGACAATTATTGAATCTATGTCACAAGACATTAATTTATCAGTTGCAACTTCATGGCCCTGTATGCGGCGATATCCTTTCATCGTTGACCCCGCGCATCTGGAATGCTACATAAGCCACTTGGGTCCAGATCCGGAAGCCACCACGGCCCTGATCAAGCTAACATCCCTGAAAACAAATCTCACTGTGATAAAGATCGATATTTGCATGCTCGAACCGTCATCGTCTCACAGATCGAAGCCATACTCGTTGCACACGCGCCACCATGCCTGGAACTTGCCTTGTACAATCCCTAAAAGAGGCAATTCGATGCAAAAAGGGCGTTAGGTTTCGGGATCTCTGCGCCACAAAGACAGATATGTAATCTACCCCTTGCATAAGAATGATGATCGCGCTCCCAGGAACGAATTTTTTGTTTTGTTTTGTTTGGACGACGTTTCGTTGCCAAATGCTACGATGCTCGTATCTCGAGTATTATATGCTCTTACATTATGCTTGATACCTGCTGGGGGCGTAGCCCAGCCTAATGAGCTCGATGGACGCGCCGTCGACCCTTTGGCAGGAACATCTGAGTGTGCGGTCAGTATGAATGACTTGTTTGAACTAATCTCGAGCTGACTAGTGTAGAGGACATGTTTCACCAAGACGAACGACACGGAAGCTTTTCAAGGCAGCCAAACAGAGGAACTATGCCAAGACAAACCACTTTATCATAATGTCGAAATCTGTGTAAAGCACGTTTGTAATTTCACTGAGATACTGGGTAAACGACGTCAACCTGCAGGTGGTGGCTTCAATATCGAGGGCTGACGCAATAGCTAGACTTCAAGAACAGAACGTCACGCGCATGCGACTGGCCGATCACCGACCGTCGACAAGAAATCCGAATCAGCTGCTTGACGATAGGCATTTTGGCTATGGTCTTCTTTACTATGAGAGCCATCTCAAAGATAATTGGATTCGTGCCATATGGGCACGACGATAGCCTCATACTGGCAGCTCTGGTACGTGATGTAATCAAACTTCTGTGACCCTACCCCTGACAGTTGAACAGCCATTTATTATCGCATTTAATATTTTCTGCCAAGTCCGTAAGTGTTGACCTTCTGACCAGGTATTTATACAATGCTGACAAAAGCTTTGCTCCCAAAGTTACTTCAAATGGACTCGGACTCGATATTTGGTTTGTGGAAGAAGATAACATTCGCATCTTTCTCATCGTACGTGATCATGACATCCCGGCGTGTACAGTTTAGTTCTAATGAATCCAGCTGATCTTCGCTTCCGAACTCTCATACGCTACGTCGCTCGCTCTCGTAAAGCTATCGATCTTAGCCTTTTTCCTTCGGATATTCCCCGACCAACGATTCCGCATCATTGTTCGATGGACCACCATCTTCATTCTTGTTATGTGCCCTCTATATCTTGCACTCATCCTCGCTCAACGACGGCCCCTCGATCTGTTTTGGAATGGATGGAGGGACAAAAATCCACGAGGTGTTATGTTGAGTGGAAATCTGATAGGGATAACTCATGGTGCATGGAACGTTGCTTTGGACATTTGGATGATGATTCTTCCAATGACTCAACTGCTCAAAATCGGAATCAAGCTAAAGAAGAAGATTGGGGTTATCGCTATGTTCGGAGTAGGCCTATTGTAAGTTGTCAAGTGTCCGCGCAGTAATATTCGTCCTGACCTGTATGGTATAGTCTCACGATCGTCAGTTCCGTTCGTATCCCGAGCCTGATAGTGTTTTCAACGTCACGAAACATAACTGGTAAGAAAGTCATTCTTCAATGTGCTGAAATATACTAACTGATGACGCAGCCGATTCAGTCGGGATAATAATCTGGTCAAACATCGAGATTTGCGTAGGCATGATGGTAGCATGCATGCCTGGAGCACGCCAATTCGTGCGAGACATTGTACTTCGATTGAAACGAAGACACCAGTCCGATGGGTCTAGCACTGAGGATATATTTATTGAGAGAACGATAGAGACGATCCAGACTGATGCAGACGACACAGTCACGAGTTCTATAGTGAGACCAGAGGTAGCGCTCCTGTCAAAATGACAACGAATTGCTGGCTGCCATCACCGATATGGAGGCCATGACGATTAATGAAAAGAAACACATCCTCAATTAATTCCTATCAGCCTATTATGATTGCCCATTGCAGATACAGACGAGCAGTGCTTATGATTGCTCACGGTGGTTGACAACAACCGAAGCGTTTCCCTTCTCCTTGCCTCCCATCTCCTCAACATCTCCAGTCAAATCCTCAGGCTTATAGTTGCCAAACTTGCGAAGAGCAATACCTTCATTGAACATGCGATCAATCTGCTCCAAAGACTTACCCTTGCACTCAGGAACGCAGAAGACAACAAAGACAATAGCCAAAGCCAAAATACCAGCGAAAACGAATCCAACCTTGGACCCAAGACCGGCGTATTGAGGATATAGCATATATGGGATGCTGAAGCTGACGAGAAAGTTGGCTACGACGTTGACGATGGAGGCCGTTCGCTGGGAAGCGTCACGAAGCCGAAGCGCGGGAATTTCGGTGGTGATGACGTAGTTGAGAGGTGCGAAGGCGAAAGTGAAGCCGGATCCGAAGAGGGTGAGCATTGCTACGATGCCTGATTTGATACCGAAGGATGGGTTGGGAACTGTGCCGAGAGCGCCCATGGTGATGATGGCGCAGAACATCCAGCCAGCGCTCGTCAACAGAAGAGGGCTAGAAGAATTAGTGGTATGCAACAACGGATGGATAAAAGAGACTTACCGGCGACCAGCTCTATCAACCAGATAAAGACCAGCAAAGGCTGAGCAGAGGTTGACAATTGCGTTGACGATGGTCATAGTGAAAGGGTTGACAGTTCCAATATCTCGAATGAAGATGGCGCCGTATGTAGAGGCAAAAGCTTGGCCGGTAGCTTGCTGAAAGAAGTTCATAGCCACCACAATCGCAGTACGCTTCAGATTCTTTCCCTGGAAAAGTTCGAGGTAGTTGCCCTGCTCAGGTTCGTGTTCCAAGGCGTATTGAAGAGCAGCAAAGCTCTCGTCGATCTCGGCTTCGGTCTCTTTGCCCTCTCGTAGTTTTCCAAGGGCGGCGCGAGCTTCCTCGGTTCGGTCTTTGGTGAGTAGCCATCGGGGGGACTATAATTGGTCAGTATGGGAATATAAGTCTTTCCTCTGGGTTACTTACCTCTGGGATAAAGAAGATGGCGCACATGACGACAACGGGGATAATGAAGAAGAGGCCGAAGGGGATGCGGAAAGAGAGGTTGCCAGAGAGCGTACTTGTTCCTCGACAGACGCATGCCACAATGAGAGTTCCAGACTATCTTTTGTCAGCTTATGTGATTGAAGCTCTCTCAGTGAAACTCACCATCAAGCTGAACTGGTATGAGCCAACTGCAAAGCCACGAATCTCTCTGGGCATGATCTCGGATTGGTAGACGGGGACGACAGCAAGCTCCATGCCAATGTAAATATCTATTGATATGTGTTAGCTATATTCATCAGCTAGGCGGATTGTGTAGCACTCACAGTTGAGGATTCTCGTGGCCATGATCTGATGCTTGCTCGTCGATGTAACAGCCATGATAGCTGGAACCAGCGCCCAAGCACTCATGACGAACATACACCACCGTCGTCCCCATCGCTCGCTTACAAGACTACCAATAATGACACCAGCTCCGAAACCAATGTAGTTCAAGCTGTTGAAGAGAGACAACCATGATGGTGGAATGGCATACTTGCCCTTCTCAGCATCCCACTCGCCGAACTGCGCCTGAAAGGCTTCCATGGCCTGCGTATTGTTGTAAGCAGCATTGTCAAAACCATAGTTGAAGGTTGACACGGCGATGACTGCGAAGGCAATCGCCAGGTGGCGATTGAAGTGTTGAAGGATTCTGTTCTTGGACAACATTGTGTCTAACTCTCAGATATGAGTAATGGTTGATTGGAGTTGAATTGATTGTGAAGATCTTGACCGGGATGATGCTGTGCTGATATACCCAGCCACTTTACCCCAGAGAAACTCTCCCCGCAAAGCTTTACTATCACGCGTCGACCCGGCGTCAAGGTAACGCCTGTTCGAGACCTGCAGAGTCTGCTAGCCTGGTCACTCTCCTGATTTCCCCAGGCGAGGTCTGGGGTAAGTGGAGCTCCGAAGGGTTAGTGCATTTCCGGGCTCGGATGTCGGGCGGAAAGATTTCTGTTGCTAAGAATTTGGGGTAGACCTCGATTCTTCTCTTCCGCCCGACTTCCTTTCCTCATCCTGGTCTGAACTGTTCGGATGAAATTCGCAATGGAGCCAAGAAATGGATCCCGTATGCGAAATCGCAAGACATCCGAGATATGTGCTCAATGTCGGAACCGCAAGGTATGCGACAGCTCCGATAATGAACGTCGGCTAATGAATTGACTGCAGGTGAGATGCGATGGCGATCCCAAAGGCTGTAACAATTGCAAGAGGCTCAAGTTCAATTGCTCTCTTCTGACAACAGACTCCGACAACGCGCTAGAGATACTAGAAAGACGACGCGTATCTAGGGCGTGTATACCTTGTCGCGATCGCAAGCTGAAGTGCTCTGGCCAGAGACCGACGTGTTCAAGATGTTCGGATCGAGGAACTCTTTGCCACTACCCTTCAGCCGCAAGGGCTAACAGTCATGACGCTGGCCCGTTGCCTGGTGGTGAACCCTCGATTACAGCGGGCAGCACCCCATCAGCCCCAGAATCCGACCACCGTGAATTTCAGCACTCACAGGCTCAAAGACAACCAAGTCGTCAGCTTTGGTCGGGCTCGATGCCAACACCAGCACAGATTTCACAATGGTGAGTCATAACATTATTGCTACTCGCACTTGCAAGGCTGATTGGAAACAGGGACCTAGGAATAGACAAACAAACCGTCAAGCAACACATCGATGCCTACTTCGACCTAATACACCCGATACCATGTTACAGTTTTCTCCATAGAGCAACCCTGTTACAATCGTGGTCAAAAAACGAGCTAAATCCGTGCGTGCTATCCGCGATATGCGGGATCACATCGCGGTTCATCAATCCAGGCAGCTCCGAACATAGAGCGATGGCAAAGAGATGGATCGAAGATGCAGAGTCGCACCTGCTCAGACGAGTTGCCCAGCCTCGGCTATCAGATATCGAAGCATGGCTTCTCGTTACACTAGACCACTACCTCTCGCAGCGCGTCAGCAAGATGCTCGTCTCGATGGCTCTAACATCGAGGCTCGCCTACATCCTTAGACTGAACCATGAAGATCCACGCCAGAAGTTTCTAATGCAAGAGCGTCGCCGACGACTGATGTGGGCCATCTATATCATGGACTCGTTGTACTCGAGTGGGAAGACGGAGTTCACAGCATGTACTCCAGAGACTCTCCACATCCGGCTGCCATGCGCAGAAAAGTCGTTTTCCATGGATGCTCCAGTAATAACAGTGCCGCTGCACTCGAGTTCTCATGAAGATACATCCAATATTGGTCTGCTTGGCTACTGTATTCGTGTTTTGGATATTCGCAATCGCGTGCAAAGGTCAGTGCCTAGATCTACGACTCAATACTCTCGTCTAACTTTGACTTAGACTTACCCTTACGATCACGAATCACCGAGAGCCTATCGATCAGTGCCTGCTCGCAGTAGAGTCGATCGAAAACGAATTGCGCCAATTTTCAGCTAGTTTGCCCGCACGATACCATTGGGACCCAGCAGCCTTCTCTCTGCGGGCCTTTTCGCCTTCGCGTACCCCCTTTCTGATGCTGCATGCTTGGTGGCATCAGACACATTGCGACCTCTTCCGCTTCACCATTCCTGGCTTCCGAGAAGGTCTACCGACAGCTGAGATATTACAGCTGTCACCAGAATACACCTCAGCATGTCGCGAAAAGTGCCTGTACCACGCCATATCCGTTTCCAAGATCCTTGAGGTACCTAAGTCAGTTGGTGGATCGGAGCTGATCAGTGATCCTTCAATCGCGATGTGCGCTTTCCATTCTGCGAGGATAATCTCAAGACTTGGACAGTACCCTATGGGCGACATGCCACAGACGGAGCTTGTCGCTCGATTGACGGCTTGTGCTGAGGCCTTGGAAGAACAGGCAGTGATCCTTCCCACAACTGCGATCTTGAAGAAGGGCATTTGCGATCTGGTAAATGATGCCCAGCGCGACCGCCACGGGCCTTACGCATGCCCTTCAATATGGGAGGAGGAAGAGTCAGAGAGCTACAATACAACTGGAGCTTCTAGAGATATTAGTGGCTCCGGGGCCAGAGAAGTCTTTTCCAAGCACAGCGTCACCGAAACGGTTCAGAACCTTCAATTTCAACCCGGAGAGCAAGGCGAGTGTGAAGACCATGGAAACTCTGGGCAAGCACCTTCAGAAATGACATTTGGGAATGAAGCAGGGCCTGCATCGACGGCGAACTTTATCTCTATGAGCATCTCGCCGCTGCCTGAGCCAGTCACTCAGGACCAAACAGATTTTGGCCTTTACCTCGGGGAGTCTGAGCCTCACTTGGACAGCATATTTAATTTTGGGCTCCACGGGCAGTATGGCTCTGGGCAGCCTGATGTTTTCATGGATTCATTCTGGCCTCTTGCAGATACAGATTGGACCATGCCAGATGTTGGTAGTATGTAACAATACGATTCGTGCTATTATTTGGAACAAATACTTATATGTATATTGTATAAATACACTTGTTGAAACTATGCACCGTTCCAATACATATCCTTCTCCACCTTGAAGCTCACTTCCAAATTGCCACTTGAGCTCCTGACAGAAGCGATGTATGCTCCCGATTCGCAAAACCAGCTATTCGCCGTAACATCCCAAACCGCTGTGCTGTACTTGTCTAAAGGCATAAACGCCGTCGCTTCGTGACCCGGCTCCAAGAAGACCTTCTGGAAGCCTACAAGTGTTCGCACCGGGCGATGAAATCTCGACTTCTGGCCTGACTTTATCGCATCGTAAGAGACGTAAAGCATCACAACTTCGGCTCCAGCCATCTTGCCGGTGTTCTTCACCTCAACGCGTACGCCATCATCGGCCACTCGGATATTATATGTTGAGAATGTTGTGAAGCTTAGACCGTGGCTAGATACTGTTAGCGGTAGGTGACAAAAGCTCGTGGAGTCGACTTGCCCGAATTCGAAAGCTGGCTCAATGCCTCGAGCATCGAACCAGCGATGCCCAACAAAAACATCCTCAGAATAATATGTCCTTCCGTTGTCGTTTCCGAAACTTAAGAAGGTCGGACCATCTTGGAGTTTGCTCGGGAATGTGATAGGCAACTTGCCACTGGGATTGGCCCTCCCAAAGATAATGTCGGCTACTGCATTTCCTGCTTCATTCCCCCCATACCAGCTATGTAAGATAGCCCTTGCTTTGTGCCGCCATGGCATCTCAATCGGGTTTCCTGCTTGAGTCACCACTATAGCATTCGGCTGAACCTCGAGCACCGCTGAGACGAGGTCATCCACATGCGGTGGTAGACTCATAGACTCTCTGTCCTTGCCCTCCTTCTCCAAGTCTGCATTGAGGCCGACTACAACGAAAGTGTGTTTACACTTCTTCGCAGCTGTGACAGCACGTCTAATGCCTTCCTCTGGATCCAGCTTCAAACAACCACCCAGACGGCATGCTCCACCTGGTATAGGAATGAAGGAGCCGCCTGTTGTTATAGAAGTCGATGCACTGCCAGCCTCAACGCGCAGTCGATATGTCTGACTTGCCTTCATCTCATATGTCCCACGTTCTTCCCTAGATCCATGACCGAAAAACATCCCAGCATGGGTCTGTGAAGTCGTGTTGTCGATGACCAGATGTTCGTCTATATAAAGCCTTGATACTCCATAACTAGCGAGACCAAACTCATAAGTACCCTCTATATCTGGCTTGTAGTAAGCTGTCATGGACATATAAAACTTCTCGCCCTTCTCTGGGTGATCATAGTCCATTAGCTGATACGTTGTGTCTGGTATGCTTTGATGGTCAAATGGCTTCCTTGTTTGCCACGCTGACTCTGGCTCGTTGAAAAAAGAGATCGAGGCACCTGGCTTCCCATTCTCATTCGTGACGTGGTCACCCGTGAAGTATGGTAGCAAGACGTGGCCGAATACTCCAGGTTCAAAATGCACCTTTGTATTGGATGGAAGTTGGTCGCTGATTCCTTGGAAGACAGAGCTAGTGTAATATGGTCGTAGATTCGCACTGCCCCCACCACATGCTGCGGCAAGCTTAGCGTTCGGACCAATGATAGCGACATCCTCACAGTCTGCAGGATTGATGGGCAAAATGTTGTCTGAGTTCTTTAGTAGTACGATACTCTCCGTCGCGAGTTTTCTGTTTAGCGCTCTGTCCTCTGGTGAGTCACGAGTGGACTCTTTCTTCAATACTCGAGCTGAAGCTGTGCTATTGACCAGCTCGAGAACCTTTCTTGCTCGCTCGTCTATCGTCTTGCGACTGACTTTGCCTGAAACGACTGCGACCAAGGCCTTCTCAGCGCGATGTCTTGAGGGACCTGGCATCTCAATATCCACACCCGCATTGAGTGCATCAGTGCAACCATAAGTGCCGTACCTAGACTGTCAGTTTCCCGCCATAAGATTAGCAGTGGACTACTTACCAGTCACTCATGACCAGACCGTCAAACCCCCAATCGCTTCGTAATATGTCTTTCAGTAGCTTCGTGCTTTCTGACACGTGTACGCCGTTGACCTTGTTATACGAAGACATAACAATCTTGGGTTTGGCATCCCTAACTGCCATCTGGAAAGGTTTGAGGTAGACTTCTCGCAATGCCCTCTCTGACATGCAGATATCCGTGGACATCTTGGCCGTTTCTTGATCATTGGCCACAAAGTGCTTCAAAGCCGCTGCAGTACCTCTGCTTTGAACTCCACGAATAATTGCTGTTGCTAACATACCACTAAGATGTGGATCTTCAGAGAAGCTCTCAAACCCGCGACCATTAAGGGGTCCCCGGACCAGATTCACGGTAGGGCCTAACCAAACATGTGCACCTTTCGCGTCACATTCTCTGGATAGCAGTTGACCGGCGGAATAGAGAAGATCGGGGTTCCAGGTCGCACCTAGTCCAGTCCCACAGGGGATACATAATGCTGGAACGGGGTTGAAGAACCTCCCTCCGCGGGCACCGTTGGGCCCATCAGTGCATTTTACTGATGAGATGCCATGAGATGGTATAGCTTGAGAATGCCAAAAGTCGGATCCTGTGGGTTATGAGTAATGGTTTACTGAGTGGTAGGCCAATGGTAACATACCAGACAGAAGAGAAATCTTCTCAGCAAGAGTCAAAGACGCTAGTGTTGACTCAACATCAATGGGCTGTCTTTGGAGAATGTGCATTTTGTCGGATGATTGCAAGGCTAGAACAAGACAAAGACGATAAAGCTCGAGGCATGAATACTCGTCATTTCACTGGAGGCAATAGACCCAAGTCTTTCATGTTTTGCTCCTTGATGAAAACGGCCAAGCGTACGGAGTAGCTGACTCGCGGATCTGCTGGTCTCGGATGTCGGGCGGAGCGCTGCAGTGAACGGTTCCCCGAGTTCTCTCGCCAAAACGTAGCCAATCATGGAGTACTCCATAGTTTAGTGGCTCTTTAATGATGATCTTAGGCGAAGCTGACTTCGTGGGCTATCCGAGATTACCTTGTAAAGCCGGCAATATTACGCATGGCGGAAGACAACCACGAATATTCCGTTTTGCTGGATAGCAAGAATGTTTATCAATTTCGCAATGAAAAAAGCTCTTTATATGTAATCCTTATGATGTTCCGAACCCTTACAAAGTAAACAAATTGATGCCATCGCCTGACTCACGAAGCTTCTTATTAGCCTTCTGCAAGCTAAATCTCATAAACACACAAGTCGCGACCGAAAGCGCCGAAAAGGCCATCATGAGTAGATTGGCTTTGATGTAGCGCGGTCCATCACTAGCAGGGAAGAAATACGGACTCCAGATATTACCAAGCTGGCTGAGAAGATTGATGATAGCAGTGGCGCAAGCACGCTTCTCAGGCGTCTGGTTGAGGGTTGAGCTAGCCCAACTGAAGACCATGGCGTTGGATGAGAAACAGCCGCAGATGTAAAGGAAGGCAGCTGCATATCTTGCGGCGTTGTTAAGCGTGGCAACGGAAATGATGAAGCCGATGCAGGCGACTGCTTGGGGAATAGCGATGTGGTAGCCTCGGTTCTTGCGACGATCGCTGGACCATGCTGTTGCGAAGGCAGTGGCCGTGGCGATGAGATAAGGAGGGGCAGTCAGAATGAGCGTAAGAGTTGTGTTGCCGAGCTTGAATCCCTTGACGATAGTGGGGAAGAAGCTGTTAAAGCCGTACGCACTATGGTTAGCCGTGAGCATGATGACCTATTCATTGTTAGCATTCTAGCGTGACCTCTTACAAGAATGAAACTTACAAAGACCCAGGTTCGAAGATCCTTGACAGCCATCATCAAACCCGCAAAGACACCGTGATCTGCATCTGGAAGAGAGACACGGTCTCTGTTGATACGCTCCACAGCAACTTTCTGCTCATCATCTGAGAGAAGCCACTTCATGGCTCCAGTCCTTTGTCCCGGGAAGTCTGGAAGCACGAAGAAGGCGATAATAGCCGCCATGAAACTTCCAGCACCTTCAATAATGAACAGCCATTGCCAACCAGCCATGCCCCTAACGCCCTCCAGCCCTGAAAGAACACCTGCGGCAATGAGTCCTGAGAAGGCGGTGGCGAGGAGAACACCGGAGTATAGAATCGCGGTTCGAAGGGCAAGCTCCTTGCGAGGGTACCAGCAGCTGAGCAGGAACATGGCACCTGTTCTTCGAGTCAGTCTATGTTCTTGCATTACACAGGGAGAGGGAACATGCCTGGGAAGAAAGGTGCTTCTGCGATACCGAGAAAGAATCGGATGACGATCAAATGAGTGTAGGTACCAGCACCCGCAGTAGCGGCAGACACAATGGACCACAAAGCAGTCCAGGCTGGGATGTACATCGACGGGCGGGTTCGAGTAAGGAGCATATTGCTAATACGAGTTAGCCTTTGAGCTTCGAACCAGAAGGAGCAGTTTTACCTGGGGAGTTGCATAAGCATGTATCCGACATTCAGGATGGACACTGCAACATTGAACTGATTGCCTTTGAGACCAAGGTCTTGTTCGAAGGTGCTGAGACGCGCTTGACTAAAGACGACAATCAGCGAACTGCTAAGTTTGATAAATGCTGGGTTAGAACCTACGCGATATTGTTTCTGTCGAGATAATTGAAGAAGTAAAGCAGCCAGACCATGGGCAGAAGAGTACAGTCCAACTTGCGGACCAGACTCTTCTCATTGGTATCGTACTGCTCATCTGTCATGCCAAGTCCGTTGCTAACCGCCTCTTCAGCCTTGACTGGCATCTCGTCGACGTGCTCTGACGAGAGGGAAAGATCCTGCTTCTGCTCAGTCATGGCGACAGTCATTCTGAACAAATATGGTACGAGAACTGTTTGGTTGAGTGGAAGTCTCTAAGCTAAGCTTTGCCGTGAGATTGATTGAAGTTATTTTGCGTGCACACGTCCATTCTTATATTGGTTTCGCCTCTTGCTAGTTCTCAGCTAAAGATTCTGATGCTGGA